CACACATTTGGTTGTTTTGAAGACATTGCTGATTGCATGATCGAGAGAAGCGCTCGCAAAGTGTGTTATTCGAACACACCGAATTTGTAGGATTGTAACACTGATATAATGGTGGATCATTTGTAACCGGAGATCTACTGTAGTATTCAATGATGCACAACTGCTCACTACTTTCACATACTGTACCATTGAAACATTGATGTGTATTTGGATTGTAACATTGATTTCCACAAATACCAATACATTGAACAATTTTGTCGAGCTCAGTACAGTTTTGTATAGCTGGATCGTAACAAATGCTCTCACCACATAATGATTGTGAACTGGGACATATTTTGATCGATGTTAATGCAGTTAAATTGCTCTGAGCATTTGATATAGCAAAAAAAGCAATAAAAATCCATAAGTGTATACAACCCTTCAGACGACTTAATGCAAATATCATATTTCAATTGTAATTAAATACTTTATACTGGCTGTGTTTGTTGTTGTTTCCTCGTATTTCAATTGTACTGTTGAAATTTTTATTATTACTCGATTGCAGTTTGTATGTACCTTCTGAAAAAACGAGTTTTAATTATAATAAGTGAGTTTTTAACTGATAGTAATAAACGTGAAATATTTATCTCTCCTTGATTTATCTCTTAAATGACGAGTTAAACTTCTTCGTAGTATCTAGTGATTGAATAAGCATAAGTCCGACGTCGAAACGCGACATTAAGGCTTTTTACTATCTGCTTTTCAGAACTCAAAATCTTAATTTTTACCTTAATCTATTATTCTACTGATGTAATTTCATCAGATAAACAAAAAAAGTTATCATTTGGTATTCTAAATATATCGTGACTATGAAAACATATTAATAAAATAATAATACCATTTTCTTAAACACTCATATTTTTTCTATGATATCTGTATATTTACGCATTGTACTTTGTGCTTACCGATCAGATATTACAACTATAGTCATAATTAGTTTTTTTTAAATTTTTCATTACTCTAATAATACCTTTTGATGATGGTCAAAATTCTCTCTTATTTATATCAAAACAGAAAATAATTAGTATTGAACAGCACTATTTAATCAATCCTCAGTAATTCTTTCTAAACGAAACTCACTTTCTATGCGTTTCATACAAATTTTCGTTATAAAAAAAATTTCTATGTAACACTAAATAACACATACCTCACCTGTACGTTTGTTGATGTAAAATATTATTTGATCAGTCTATAGCTATTTTCATATAATGCACACGTTTCACTTAGTTTGATATTGCGCAGAATCTGTCTTTTTTTCTTTCGTTCTTCTTCCTACCAACTCGTTTCGAAAGTCACATTCTGGATAAAAACAACGTTTGATAGGTAAAATAAATCAAAACAAATATAATATGCATTAGCATATGTCTACTTCCGAGTACGAGGACAAAAAAGAAAAAACTAAAATCATGACGAAAGATTAGAAGGTGTATACACAACATAGATGTCTAGTGAAAATAACTATTTGATTCAATTTATGATATAAACGAAAAATAATATTTGTCCTACCATATGATTCATTTCGTTATCTAACTTATAAGCAAAGTCCCGAGCCACTTAAATAATCACAAGATTTCAATGTCGTAGAAAACGATAGATCTGTCGTTTCATGAAAGATAAATAAGAGGCCAATTTTAAGCTTCCACAACAAAAACAAATTTTCTCATAGACATATCTTTCTTGAGTGAGAGTTTATTTTTTCTGTAATATCTCTATGCTACCATAATACGATTATATTCATATACAAATGAACCAAGTTTCGTTTTGAGTTGATCGAGTCATTATTAATGATAGTATCGGGGAAGAAAGAGTCCTTCGAATTGTATATATTTGTTAAATTGAAGAAAAAATTATTCCAACTAATTTGGAACTATCGATTTCGTCCATTTTAACGCTAACAACGTATAAATGAGGTTAAGAAAAACTCAGTCGCATTCGTGCTTACATCTCTCCATTCCCGAGATATGCTCTAAGCAATGTCGTTTATTATAACTTAAAATATGTGAGACAAGTTGTTCGATTAATCTATCATGGTACTGAATTATGACATAGCAATTTGTTTAACATATCATAAATATAAAATAAAGACATTTACTTTTTCAGATAATACTTACGTCGTACAATGTCACTGATAATTATTTAATATCTAAAGATATGTCGAAAAGTTGGAACCAATTGAGATAATTCTTTTGTTTAACAAAAGCAGTGAATTAATAAGTTCAAAATATTTTTTTTTGATGCACGTACGCATAAATATACCATTGGAAAGAAAAAGTTAGCCACTATCTGTGACTTCTTTTTACACTCGAAATCGACTGATTAGGAAATGTAATAATGCCATTCGATAATTTCTCTAATTTTCTACAATTTTTGATCTTAGATACAAAGTACTATCCTTAGTTTCTTAATAAAATTTACGGAGGATGTACATGTCTTCCATTGACAATTCTACAAACTGTATTATTGCTCTAGTTTTTGTCATTCAAAGTTATCCGCAACGCTGATTAAATGCACAGGATGATAGAGTATTTGAAGAGCAACAAAAATAACTCACTGGATCTGGAAAAGATAAGTTCTATAAGAATAACAATTTTTTGCTAAAGAATTAGAAAACAGTGAACAAATCCTTTACAATCTTAATAAAAGACATGAACATTGTCGACAAATTTTATAAGATCTAAAATTGTAGAGAATTAGAAGAGCTATCGAATGGTGTCTATAATTACTTTTCACATTCACCCGATTTACAGTACAAAAATTGGTTAACTTTTGCGTTCTATTCACCTATTCTTTCTTTGACTTACTCAATTCTATATTATATCATCGTAAACAAGAGTTTGTCTTGAGGGTGTGGGTGGGTGGGTATGGATGTGGGTGAGGGTGAAAGTGAGTGAGAATGTTGGTCTGAGTGCAGAGTTTCCAATAGAAATTTCAAACAAAACGCATTGGTACGCTTTGCTTACGTAGACAAAACGTAAGTGTACACCTTCTTTTTGCTTGCAAAGTATACAAAATGTACTTATGACGTTTTTCCAATGTAAAAAACAGAAATAATTCTACTTTCTTTATGAATACTTTGTATAAATACTTGTTAAATAGCAAACATATGAGGGATAAATAAGGATATCATTTCGTAATCTGACTCTGATATTTTAGAATCAAGCTGTAAATCATTTTCGCAAAATGTGTACCGTACACTCTGCTTTTTCGAGCAAATTGTAAATCACAGTGTAAATACAAAATTGTAGTTGTACAGCACATTTTGCTTATGCTGTGTACAACTGCTATTGGAAACTCTGGTCTGGGTGGGTGAGGATGTGCGTGCTGGCAGGTGTGGGTGGGTGTATGTGTGTGTTGGGGTCACATACTTCTATACCCACACCCATAACCATATGCATCTTCTGTTTGATTTTTTCTTAATTCTTGGAAATAAAACAGATATATCAAAGAATGAAATTCCAGAATGAAATTAAAATAAAAAAAAAAATTATGTTAAAGCAATTAGAAAAGGACTTTTATATTCCGTGCGTCAGTTTATCGTAAAGGAAAAATAGTATTTAAAAATCGAAAATATTTTTGGTTATTTTCTTCAGGGTGTAGGTATTATACTCTTCTTATATCCAGATCCACACCCACCCACATATTCATGTAATAAGAATATATCACTCCCGATACTTTCTGATGTTGTTAATGTAACATATAATTATACTTGTATGTTATAAATATTACCATCATCTGAATCTATAGTAAATTCTTCGATGGATATATTTGTAGATTTCAGTTGTTGGATTTGCTTGGAACTACGAATTAATATATCTTGTAATTCAGGAGTAATTCGATTGACTAATGATGTTGTAATAATAGATTTAAGAGAAATACGATCATTAATGGAAATAAATGGAGTAAGCTTTGCAGACGATGTCGTAGTCCAAGCAATATTAGATAAAATACGTTCATAATTTTCATACCATGAAGAAATAGATGTTCGAGATATTTTAGCATTAGTAGCTAATTGAACAAGTAAAAGTGAATAGAGTATACCTTGTTTTCATTGAGCTCTAACTGCTCCACTAATTAAATGTATTTGACTACCATTTATATAACTAGCTTTACCCTCATTATAATTAGTAACATTTTAAATAATAGTCAAAGTAGAACATATAACGACAAGATGAAGCAAAATGTCTTGCAAACCAAAGATAGAACGCGTATTGTTATTGACAATAAGTATAAATGAAATATTATAAAACTAAGCTTTGACATATCATATAATAGAATACAACGTTAAATTTGAAACAAATCAATAACATCAATGATTAAAAATATGTCATCATGATGTCTAACAAAGTGGCTTCAAATTCTTCTATGAAATTAATATTTAGCTATACATAAAACACTAATAACTAGTTTATCGTTGTTGACGGCGTGTATATATAGGCGAGAGTTAGAATGCAAATGTCGATATCATTTATCTACACTCACACCCTCTTTTGACCTCTATATGACTTCGTGACCTTTCTTTCTAGCATAACACCTATGCTCAAGTGACGGACATTGTTTGCATTAATACATATATGTATATAAATATGCATATTTCATGTGTGAACAGCACGAGTTGTAGTGTGAGAAGATTGATATCTTACGTAGCATTATGTGTATTGAGAAAAAATCTGATTATGTCATTTCTGATCATTTTGCAACCATCATACAGCAACCTGCAACAACACACGTAAGTATTTAAGAAACACATCCGAACTTAACAATTAATTTTAAGAATAGCTGCCTGTATAATGAATCTTTTATGTAAAACAACATTAAAAATAAAAATTCACTGATC